AGTGCATGGCAGCTGGGACTCTCCTGTCTTGACGTCAGGGACATGGTGTAAAATGCTACCCAGGGGGTTTCACTTCTGTGCTGGTGGCCACCCCCCGACATGCTCCCTTTGCTCAGTTGAAGTTGTTCCACTTGACCAGCAGTCAGGAAGGTGAATGCCACCCCGCATTCCCCTCCTCGCTATGGGGCCGTTTCCGGTCCTGCCTTAGGACAAAGATCAGACCCATGTGCGGATAAAACTCCTTCATTTTAGGCTGTACCTCACTGACTCAATTTCATTATATTCTCCCTAATGGGGAGAGGAGATTTGATGGATGAGATTTATTTGAGGAAGGGCAAAATCGACAGCAGCAAATGAATGAGCCCACAGCGGCCTTTCTCTGTGCAAACTAGTGCCCCGGACAGTGAAGCCAGGAGCCAGGCCGGGGCCATGTGCTCAGCACCGCCACTGCAACAGTGCGGCGCCCTGCAGCCGGAGCCCACGGGATGCGCTCAACAAATACTCGTGACATAAACGAATAAAGCAGTGTCAGTTGTTTGGATTTCAAAATAAATGGATCTTGGACCTGGGATATGGCCAGATGGGCAGACGGGTTACATTGTGGTGATGCATCTCCAAGGCTATAAAAAACACAGCCAGCTCTGGAGTGGCAGGCTGACATTGCAGCAGATGATCACACGCACGATTTAACCACACGCCGTTCCTGCCCTCCAAGTGCCATCACTTCAACAACTGTTTTCATGTTGGCTTTCTTGCTCATTTCCTTTTTTTTTTCTTTTTTTTTTTTTTTAAATCGAACACATTTTTTCCCAGCATCTCCTGTTTCTAGCTGAATGTGATTTATTCATATGAAATTATGCTCCATTTTTATAAAACCCAAGTTACTGCAAATGAGGCTTGAGGTTTTGCAGCAAATATTAATTCCCGATCTGCTGCTATAAAGCATGGCTGCTTGCTCTGCAGCAGCTCTGTTGCCCTGAGACAGATGGAAGCAGTCCAAGGGTATGATTAACTTCTTAGTCCTGGCAATTTCCGAGTGATCCTCTTGCCCCAGATTTCAAGATTGACCTCCAGCTTCTCCACACATGCACAGTTGCTCAGCTTGATAAATCACACAAATCCCGTTTTTGATCACAGTTATCTCCTATTTACTACTTATGAAGGGGAGTTAATCACATTCAGAGGCACTTCATATGCGGCACACATTTCCTTCCTTCTCCCGACAGCACTTTGCGTATTTTCCACATTATTGGTGACAGGGCAGCTTCCACAGTGCAGTGTGTCTACATTAAAGGAATGAACCACATTCCTACCTTTAGGAATGAACTACAAGCCCAGTTATCCCATTCTCCTCTGCCTCTCTCTACCCCATCTGATACAATAATCTGTAAGCAGGCAAACCCTTGGGAGGCACATTAGGAGGAGTGGGTAAGGAGGAAGGACTGTGTACCTTGACAAATGGAGGTTTTCTTATAATTGGCTTGTTTACCTTGTTGAGAATTGTACTTCCTCTTCCTGTCCTGGTCTCCTGCTTTCTTTATGATTTGGGGCACCAGTGGGCCTCTGGAAGGCCAGCTGACTTTTCAAAGGCATAAAATGGGCAGATGAAAAGTTCCATGGTCAGCAATAGAAAGGAATAAAAATTGTGCCATCCTGTCCTCACACAACCTTCCCCACATTGCAGGACGGCACAATGGCCTGGACATGAAGACCCAGTTTTGACCTGTGGTATGCTTTGGCTGTTTCGGCTGAACCATACAGTAGGCAAACCAAACAAGGCCGAAGGTTTTCTTTGGGGGTGATCACAGATGCTTTTTAAAGGTAGGTAATGGAAACATCACAGTTTTAATTTATCAAGGTGGTGTATTGATTGCTGAGGACTCACTGCAAACATATGGTATTAATCGCCAGATACTGGGTTTCTGCTAGAATGCCTATTTAAACCAAGAAAGAAGAGAAATGAAAAAAGAGACAAGAGGACCTTTGGAAGAAATTCCTTTCCTTTCCTGAATATCCTTTCCCTTCTGACATGCCACAGGGAAGAAATTTCTATCTGCCCTTAGAAGGGCCAGGATTCAAGCCTCAAAGGCAGGCTTTCTTATGGAGAAGCAGAGAACAACTAAGGACCTACTGTCCTCCTATAGTATAAACTCACAACCCCCCATGACTGCCAGTCAGCCAAGTCTATGCCATCATCAAGGTGCACGTCTTGAAGCAAAATGGCTCTCCTGAATCCAATGTCCTTGTGTTCACCGGGTACTCAAGACAGTTATAGAGCTAAATGCAAGTGAAATGGGTCCACAGGGGAGCAGACATCAGGGCACGGAGACAAGGAGCCTGCGGGTGGCATGGCTGGAGCCGGCGTGGGCTTTTCTGTTCAACTCCAGGATTGCAGAACTCAGGGAGCACCTTTTAGGTCTGAAAAATGCTCTTGTTTTCTAAAAACGAAAGTGCTGCCAAATCATTGTTGAATTTTATATCAAGGGGTGACAGGCAGAAAAAGTAGTTTAGGAAAACAGAGTAATCTGTATAAATGAATGTGTAATAGATTAACATGAGGCTGTAAGTAGCCAGAGATGTTGTGTTAGAGATATTGGGCTAGATCGCCACCTTGGCAAGGATGGAATCTTCCTTCTGTTCCATCCCTATGTTGGGTGGTTCCTCTGTCAGAGTATCAGACAAGTCCTTTATACTGGATCAGTGGTATGACCTGGAGTCCCAGTGATCCTTTTCTAGAAAATACTGGTTTGTTCAGCAGGATTAGTAATGTGCTAGAAAAGGACATCTCTCACCTGTTAACATTCTCTAACTTAAAAACTAGAAAATAAGAATCCAATTGATTCAATAGGTCTTTTAAGTCCTTATTCTGAAGAAGAGTTTAAGATTGTATCTCCAGATGATTACAGATGTTTCTCATTTATTTAAATGACTCCTGTGGCCCTGAATTAGTGGTAAACAGAACACAAAGAGCACAGAGAAGGCAGCTTTACACAATTGCCTTGCTAGCATAGCAGACAAAGTCAACTCATTAATTTGAAATGAGCCAAGTCCCCTCAGTTTTGAACAGAAAAACTGTTAGATTTAAGGGGAAAATGCTAAATTACATTAGAAGGTTGAGAAATTCACAAGAAAAGTAATGACAATGGGGATCCCCTGTGTCTCTAGGGAATGGACTTCTTTTTCTCACAGTATTGTGCACTTAGCAGTAATCAATAGAGGCAAAGATGCCAGCTTACTAGTTGACTATTGGGCTTCACAAGGGGTTTTAGTGAGAATATCAGAAAAAAGTCAAAAGGAATAGTGTTGCTCATCATTAAAATCCATGTACATTTTCTACCTAAGACAGAGTCCTGTATCTTTTGGGAAGAAGCCTTAGGATGTATTAGTCCTAGTTTCTGATGATGTTTCTTTGTATCTGCAACCATGTCTTTGAAGGGAGTCTGCATTTTCCTAAAATAGGTTTTGACTCATTCTACCAAATGTCATGACATTTATGTCTGCATGTGTAGCTTCACTGAAGTATAAACTGTATACCACGCAGTTCACTCATTTGAAGTGTGCAGTTCAATGTTTTTTAGTGTATTTACAGGATCGTGAAACTATCACCATAATCTAATTTTACAACATCTTCAGTACCCCCAAAAGGAACCTCGTAACCATTGGCAAGGACATAATATTGTAAACTGAGAGCTTCCTCATGCTTCTCAATGCATTTTGTTGAAGGAGTCACTTACTTAAGAAATCAAAGGGAAGAAATAAATATGTAGAGGAAAGGAATTAATGTGTCAGATTTTAAATGTTTTGATCCTGAGTCTCTTTTCCTTCTACCAATAGACTCCGAAGCAGTATAGTTATCAGCTTTTGTGAAAATCCCAGACATGATTCCAGAAGACCACGTGGCAGCCACTCGGAGAGCATACAAGCTAGTGGGCTGTCATGGAAGAGCTTTTCAACTGAAATGGAAGTATTCACGCCCAGTCTGCCACTATGGAGAAAATGTTTTCACACATGTGGACAGAAAATTTGCCTAAGTGACAAATTTTACCTTGGAGAGGCACAGCACCGAGCTAATTACACAGTCAGTTATTGCTCATTCCAAGAAAAAAAAAGACACTTCGGGAAGGAGGGGATGATGGTGATGTCAGCTAGTCAATGCCAAGGTGCTCACCAGCCAGCCAGGGCCACATCATCTCCAGATGGTTCTAACACTGGCAGAACCTCACTTGTGGATAGCAACAGAGACTTCACCTTTACCTACCAGTAATTCTTTAAGAAATACACACACACACACACACACACACACACACACACACAAACATCTCAGGCTTGTGAGTGAAGAATCGAAAACGAACCAAGACAAAAAAGGGCTCAGTCTGTTCTAAAAAGTACCTTTTATATATCCCTGTTCAACTATCTTCATATACAGTCTTTCAGGCAAAGTGGGGTGTGACTACAGCTTGAGTGTGCTTATTTATTAGGTTTACGTATCTCATTCAATAACACAAGTCAGAAAAAAACCAAACCGAAGCAAGGGGTAGAAAAGTCAGGGACTCAGGACCATCAACTGGGTTATGCACATAAAGTTTTTCAAGAGAGAATCTCACCAAAAGACAGCCAGCTCCTGGTGAAATGATATGGAAAAAAGTCTGAAGAAAACATCTCAAAATACATGAAGTACTTATTGCTGAAAAATGAGCTTAGATCTCAACCAGTTCCAAAGTTCAGAATTTACTGTGCCATTCAGGCCTTCTCCTCTAAGTTTCTTGTCTCTTGTGTCATTGCACAAAAGGGATTCTTCATACTTTCTATGAAATACAACAAGGCGATTTTTGCAGTAATAAACTCCACACATGCATGACAAATCCAAGCATGCAAAATGTTTAACATCCCAGTTCACAGACACTTTAGGGACAAAATCCGATTATGAATTATATGGCACAATAAATAGGGCTCAATGTATCATAAAGCAATTTATAGTTCATAAAAATGACAAAATGTACCTGTCAGACAGAGCGTGGAGAGCAGTTCTCTGGGCTGCCTGCTGGAAGAAAGGGCAGAGATGTTTATTTAGTATTCTGACTTTTAAATTATGTGCTCAATCAACACTTTAAAAAAACCTGTGTCACATACATTTCTTGCCATGTGGCCAAATATTAAACTATTAGCAGTAGAGAGCCCTGTCATGTTACGAATTGAGCATTCCTGAAGTTAGCTGAGGTCCCTGAAGGGCACTCCTGCCACCAGGGGGCGACCTTGGGGAGGCGCGGGTTCCGGACAGATGAGCTTGGGCAGGTAGGTCTCTGGAGACCTGGAGGGGCTCACAACTCTGTCATTTTTACTTCCTGAAATCACTTTACCATTGCTTTATTCTACTTTCCTGTAAGAAAAAAGATCTGTTTGGTTTCTTTGTAGCTTCTTTCCCAACAAAGGTATAATTTTTGACCCAGTTATAATAAATCTTCAGATTGAAAAGTCATTGCAATTGGAAATTGAAATACTGACTGGAAATACAATGATATGAGATTTTTGATTTCTTTTAGGCATAGCAATGATATTGTGGCAATTTTGGGGGCTCTTTAAGAGATTCATATTGAAATATTTATGGGTACAATTATATGACGTTGGAATTTGTTTTAAAATAATACAGTTGGAGGGTAGGGCAAGTGGGCTGGCATATAAATGAAACAAGCTGGCCTTGGGTTGATTACTGTTGAGGCTATGTGCTGAGCACATTGGGGCTTTATTTTATTATTTTGAGCATTTTTGTATGTGCTTTAAATTTTCATAATACAAAAAACAAAGAGAAAAAAGAAAATGATAAGGCCTCCATTTCTCCATCAGATTCTCCCAGTTGTGTATTCACCTCCTTTTGTCTGCCTATTCTGTTTTTTTCCATGTGCCTTCTATCACTGAGCTCTGAGACTTTGAAAGGCAGAGGGCATGCTTTGTCCTCTGTCTCAGAGGTCATAATTGGCTGGGGGGTGGGGGTCAAAGCATGGCCTTTAAGACCAAGGCTTACTTGGGTGCCCCAGGAAATAAGAAGTGCATACAGCCCATTTTCACCTTGTACACTATACATATCAAGCTCCGTGTTGACCAGGGACACCAGAATGTTTCCCACCCTATTCCTCATTACACCTAAATAGCAAACAAAATAGAGTCTTCAGATTAGAGAAAAATGACACATGAGAACCATGATTCCTATCACAGAAATCCAATGCACCCTGGTGAGAGGTGCATGTCCTGAGATCAGTATGTGCACACTATTGCACTGGTCTCCAGGATGGATAAGAACAAAAGCAGAAGTCCTTGTCTTGGAGAAACTCAAACCCTAGGTAGGAAATCAGAATAAGGTCCAGGATGACCTGAGGATGACATAACATGTGGATAGAAAGATTAAGCTAGGACAGCGTTAGGGAGGTGGCGATATGAGTGTTAACTGACGGTTGGTGGACCAGCAGCTACTTAGACAGTGCTTGGAACTGTTAGCAGATACTCAGTAAATATATTCTAAGTAAACATCAAAGGGATGAATCCTTTCCACTGAAATTTGAGCAAAACTTTAAAGACAAGGAGGGATGTGGTCAGGGAGAAGAGGCTGGACTTAAGGTTGCCAACAGAAGCCTGTCCAAGCCTCTGGCAGTGGTTTTCAGCTGGAGCACTCCTGACCCCCAACCCCAGGGGTCTCTGAATTGAGCAAAGGGGTTTCTTCATGTTATATTCACTATTGTGAATTATTATTGAATTATTATTGGCAGTTAGTGCCTGGGGCCAGGGATGCTAAAACCCTTCAAAGATTAAGAAGGTCCATTGTACAATGAGGAAATGTTCTCTTAAAATGACAAGGGTGTCTCTGTGGAGAAGCACTGCAGTAAAATAGGAATGAAAGATCTGAGAGAAGCTACAACGCATGTTAGCTTCTGGGTCTGGTCAAAGGAACTGAAAATAAATTAATAAGAGGAACTCAGATAATTTCCACAGTGACATTCATTGATTTAGGAGAAAACATACAATCTAAACTGGGAGACTGGGAGATGTTCTGCCATTCATTTATATTATGGATTGAATCTGGCCCTCAGCCTACATCTTGGTTTCATAATTGCCCTTTCTTTCCTCGAATGGGATGATGAGGGAGCATTCAATGTCCAGGCTACTGGGGACATCTAAGCGGTTACTGCCCCCACCTTCCTTCCCAGATTCCAGGGAATTAAGGCCCAAATGACATATTTCAGTGTCATTTCTCAGAAGAAGCCTGAGGAAGAATGGAGACCAGGAGCCCACCCAACACCTTAGAGGAGGGGCACCTGCCCCCTTTCCCCTCACTCCCTGGCCTTTGTCCTCCTAAAGGGCTGGCCCAGGAGCACATTCCCAAAAGCCCCCAGCAGGTGATGGGCAGCCATTCTTGTCCCCAGGCTTGTCTCCTAGAAGGTTCTCCCATCACCACGGTGGCTCTCACTTTTGGCAGCCATACTTGAAAATAACTACTCCTGACTCTGTCTGGCTAACTATACAAGAAGCATTTTGAACTCCCCCAAGGGAAGATGGCATGCCTTACTAGTACGGCCTCTTAACATCACCTCAGCAGGAGGTATTGGAGACTGCCTCTTCCTGGAATAACACAAATCATACGACATGTGACAAAAAGTTCAACAGAAATCTTGAACACAGCATCTCAGGTTTTCCCTAGCCATGGCTGCCCATATTTTATAAAGTTCAAACGCTTCCCCCTGATTTTTGTGATCAGGAAGCACAGTGCTTGTTGATATGCAGCTTAGGAGAAAATCACTTTATGAGCATAAGCAAAACAAACAGAAAAAAGGAAACTCAGCCTCTCAACCATCACTGAAGTAATGCATCCCAGGTGGGGGTCCCTAATGAGAATAGCTATGTAGGTCAAATGTTGGCCAAGTCCTCTAAAACAAGCTGAGCTGGAAGCCTGGAGCGGGGGCTGCTTTCCTTTAACAGACAGACATGATGCTGGGACCAAAAGGTCCTTTTCGGCTTAGACATCGGGCATCCTGCCAGTCGCTAAGCAATGTCTTTCTGTGATCCTAACTCTTCAATCTGTCCACACGATGGATGTTACCACATACTTAACGCTGTGCTTCGTGGCACCACTGACTCCCTGCACCACTATTTTTAATGTCTGGTTTTGACTGTGCTATTTAATTTGCCGTTACTCTACACGATTAAAAACTTTACAGAGAACAATTCAGCATTCACCAAGGAAGGAGATCAGAGTATATTCAATATTTTAAATAATTCCTTGAGGAAAAAAAAAAGCTTTATGGCATTAGATTAAAATTGTATGTCATATACCAAAGCAAAGACCACGAAATCTTTTTACTGCCTCTTCTCTTACAAATACTTGGCTTTTGTACACTATTTTGTTTTACTGTTGGAAAATAATAAATAAACAAACATGCGAGTTAAATAGCAGGAAAAAACTGACTCATGATTGAAACCTGAAAAACTACTTGTAGTAAAACTAGATGAATTGCTCAATTTCCTTCTTTCAAGAGTTGTACATTACAACAACCATATTCTTCTCTTCCTAAATCATCATCTCCTCTCATAACTTTCCTCTTATTCAGGTCTCAGTAAAATAGGTTGAGAGGGTTAAGAGAATGCCTCATTGATCTTTCCTGAGCTCATTACTCATTCGTGGATGACTCTGAAGCGTTAAGTCTATGAGACAAAACACATTTCCTCCCAGAAATAATCATTTTCCAGGTTCTCCTTTCTCTGTCTTTATTACAGCACGCTCGCCAGGAACCTAATCAGTAGACATGCAGGTTTCAGTGTATGCTAAATGAATTACCAGTCACAGTCTGTTATTGAAGGGAAATCAAAGAGGAAATTAAGTGCCCTTATTGTAATTGGGTTGAGCCAAGAACAAGTTCATGGATACTCGAGTGGGGAGAACAAAGGGAAATTCAAAAGGGTTCCAGAATGATTCAATTTCTTCCTTTCTTGATAGAATCAGAACTGACATGTGGATAACTCTGTAATGCCATCTGGGGTACCTATTCCGTGCAGGTACTGAGCCCCAGCTTGGGTGACAGTCAGAATAAACAAAAACCTCTCCATGCTGCCCTTAGGGTGTAGAGGTGAGTCAGATGTGAAAAGTGAAACACCCACAAACGTTCTAGATTAAAAGACAGGGTGCTATGAAACAGAATGAAGGGGACCGCATTTGGCATGAATGGTCAAGGAAGTCTTGCTAAGTAAGGTGTAACAAAGCTAGTGCCTGGAGACAAAGAAGAGTTACTGTGTCAGGGAAATGGAGAGGGTGGAAGGAAAGGCTCCAGGCAGGGCAAACAGTCTGGGAGTACGGCCCAGATCCTGGTTCAGCTGAAGAACTATAAGGTCACCATGGAGGACTCATAGAGCAGTGAAGACAGTGGCAGATACCAAGGGCTTCTGAGGTCAGGTTGAAGATTTTGGACATAATCCACAGGGCAATACAAAATCATTGAGGGATTTACATTAGGGGAAGTTGGGTGAAGGATATATGGGGCCTGCTTGTACATTCTTTGTATCTTCTGGTGAGTCTACAAAAATAATAATTTTAAAAAAAGAATAGGCATTATGATTTACATTTTTCAAATATCACTCTGGGTTCTGTGTGGTGAATGGACTCGGGCAGGAAGGGACCAAGTTTGAGGGTGTTGCAGCCATCCAGGCAAAGAGAAGGCATGGCAGCCCTGGAGATGGAGCGAGTCGTGTTACACTTTGGAGGCAGGTTGAGGGAATTGGTAGTTGATCAGATATGGGAGACCAGCGGAGGCAACAGGAACGAGTTTGAGGTTCCTGGTTTGAGCATTGGTCTGGATAGAGAGCCACTGATTGGGACAGACAAGATTGGTGCAGTTAAAGGTGGAGTTTAATTTTGAGACTGTAAACTTCAAGTTGCTTCCTGGATGTTCAAGTGGGGATATTGAGTAGATAGTTGGATACATGAGACTGGAGCAGTGAAATGCCAATTAAGCACAAAACATCAGTAATTTTTTGCAAATAACAGTCATAAGAAGAAGATAC